TCTGTCAAAAACCAAAGGACAAACACTGATTTTGGCCTCGTCGTGCCCTCCTGGAAGGCCTCCTGGACGCCTTTTGGGGCGTCTTAGGCCGTCTTGGGTGCATCATGGGCCGTGTTGGAGGCATCTTGGGGCCTTCTTAGCCGTCCGACCGCAGCAATCGAGGATGCACCGCCCATGCGTGGCCCAGAAAGACACCATTGCTGGGGCCCTGCGCCCGACCCCCACTTTCACCCTCCAACTCCAAGTAATATTCTGCGCACTTTCGTTTTGAAAAAAAAATAGTTTCAAGAATCCCCTGCAACAGTGGGACGAAGTGTTCGCGCGCGCGTCGTCGCGCGCGAAAGCCGGACTCCTTCAAAAACCTCTGGTTCCGTCAGGATTTCAGAATCGAGTGTCACGAAGACTCGGAAATATATATATATATATATATATATGGTTCTGCAACAAATTCAATTACACCAAAGAAAAACCAAATCGGTGGATGGTTTGAAAATTAGTGATATGGATATTGGGATCGATTGTGAGGTCGATAGTGGAATCGATAGTGAGGACGATTGTAAGGGCGATCTTGACCGATAGTGAACTCGATTCAGTGTGATCGATAGTGAGATCGAGCGTGAGATGGCTCGTGCGATTTATAGTGATATTGATTGTGAGATAATGAGATCGACTGAGAGATCGGTAGTCAGATCGATAGAGAGGTGGATAATGAGATCGATGGTGAGACCGATCGATAATAAGATCGACCACGAACCCAGGAACCCGGGAACCCCGCCGCCCACCGAAATCGGCCCAGAACACGGAAGGGACCCCCGGAACCCGAAACCGGGAACCCGGGAACCCGGCCGCTTGCCGAAATCGCATTTCCGCTAGGACCCCTTTCAGTGCAAACATTGGTTGGGGAAAAAGGTTTGCGCCCGCGCTCTTGAGGATATTCGAAAAAGCCATAGGTTTTGCAACGTTTTCATAACCTGCTTCCCAAAAGGCCTCTCGCGCGCGCGTGTCGAGATTTTTCGAACGCCCTTGCGCGCGTGCTGTCCCAAGAATTCCTGGCAACATATGGGGCGAACTCCACGCGCGCGTCGCAACGTCAGTTTTCAAAAAAACTTGCGCTCGCGCTCATGCGGATTCTTAAGACAGCCATCGTTTTTTCTCCAACTTGTTCATCAGATTCTGCCAAACAGGCCTCTCGCGCTGCATATCGAATTCACTCGAACGCCCTTGCGCGCGTGCTGGGGGGGGTCGCGATCCATGTCAAACGACAGCACGCGGGCCAATCGCGCGCGTCGGCCGCGCGCGCGTGTCGGACTTAAAAAAAAAACATCGCCGACGCGAGAATATCGTCATCGTTATCGGCGGGCGTGATCAACATCGGCGCCGCCGTTGGCCTTGCCGTCGTGATCGCCGCCAGTCTACCGTTGTCGACGTTGTCAAGATACCGCGCCCGCCCAAGTCGCCGACTCGCTCTGAAACGGCCGCTGGGAAGTGCCCGGCGGTCAGCGCCGCCGCGGCCGCGTCGGTCGCGCCAAAGTAGCTGGCCGCTGCGCGCGCGAGCATGCGCGGGTTAGCGCAGCCGCAAAGATGCATCAGCCAACGCCAAGCGTTCATCTCAATCTCCGCCGCATGGGTCATGCAAATCAAATTGCGGGTGGGTGGGTTGGATGTTTGCAAGAGCATAGGATGTGTCAACTCGCTTGTAAGAATCAATTGCACCACATGGACTGCGCCATATTTATGTTATTCTCCTCTCCAAAAGAAGAATAGACTCTACCCCCCCCGGAGTTAACGGTCCCCCCTGGGGTATTGCGATTTCGTAGTTATTCTGCTCACTCGTCCATCCTGAATATGAACTCATATTATCCCAGCCACGCCGGTATCACTCCCCCCCGCCATCCTCTGCAAAAAATATTATGCGCGCGCACTCGTTTATCCAAATTCATAAGTTTCCAAGACTCCCTGGCAAACAATGAGACGAAGTGCGCACGCGCGCGTCGTCGCGCGCGCATGCCGAAATCCTTCAAAAACTTCTCTGGTCTCGGAAGGATTTCCAAATCAAGTTTCCAAACATACAAAAACACAGGGTTCCGCAACATTGATTTTCTACAAAACATTACGCGGGCGCTCTTGCGAAACTTTCTATTTTAAAAAACCATCGGTTTAAAAGGTTCTCAAAAAATACTGCCAAACGAGCTTCGCGCGTGCGCATGTCAAACTGTTTCGAACACCCTTGCGCGCGTGCCGTCGCGAGAATCCTCTGCAAATTATCCCGGCAAAGCAACCTAACAGCGATGTGTATAAGCATATCTGGAAGCATTCCCCTTAAGATTCAGGTGAGAATCCAGTTGTAGAATTTTGCTGTTCTCGCAGTCACAGTCGCATTCGCAGTGACAGTCGCAGTGGCAACGGCCTTAGAATCCAATGGAATCCTAAGGATTCCTAGGGGGCATCCTTAGGCATCCTTAGGAATCCATAGGAATCCGTAGGAAACCTTAGGAATCCTTAGGAATCCGGATTCCTAAGGATTCCTATGGATTCCTACGGATGCCTCAGCCTGCCTCAGTTTCAGCCTCAGCCTCAGCCTGCCTCGGCTTGCCTCAGCCTCAGCCTCAGCCTGCCTCGGCCTCAGCCTCAGCCTGCCTCAGCCTCAGCCTCAGCCTGCCTCGGCCTCAGCCTGCCTCAGCCTCAGCCTGCCTCAGCCTCAGCCTGCCTCAGCCTCAGCCTCAGCCTCAGCCTCAGCCTGCCTCGGCTTGCCTCAGCCTCAGCCTCAGCCTGCCTCGGCCTCAGCTTGCCTCGGCCTCAGCCTGCCTCGGCCTCCCCTCCTCCCCCCCCCTCCCTCCCCCCCCCTTCCCCCCCTCCCCATTCAGCCTTACCTTGTCTCAGCTTCGGCCTGCCTTGGCCTCATCCTCAGCCTCAGTCTCAGCCTCAGCCTGTCTCGGCCTGAGCCTGCCTCGGCCTCAGCCTCAGCCTGCCTCAGCCTCAGCCTCAGCCTGCCTCAGCCTGCCTCAGCCTCAGCCTCAGCCTCAGCAGCCTCAGCCTCAGGCCTTCAGCCTCGGCCTCAGCCTCAGCCTGCCTCAGCCTCAGCCTGCATCAGCCTCAGCCTCAGCCTCAGCCTGCCTCAGCCTCAGCCTGCCTCAGCCTCAGCCTGCCAGCCTCAGCCTCAGCCTCAGCCTCAGCCTCAGCCTCAGCCTCATCAGCCTCAGCCTCAGCCTCGGCTTGCCTCAGCCTCAGCTTCAGCCTGCCTCGGCCTCAGCGTCAGCCTCTCAGCCTGCCTCAGCGTCAGCCTCTCAGCCTCAGTTTGCATCAGCCTCAGCCTCAGCCTCAGCCTGCCTCAGCCTCAGCCTGCCTCAGCCTCAGCCTCAGCCTGCCTCGGCCTCAGCCCTCAGCCTGCGTCAGCCTCAGCCTCAGCCTGCCTCAGCCTCAGCCTGCCTCAGCCTCAGCCTCAGCCTGCCTCGGCGTGCCTCAGCCTCAGCCTCAGCCTGCCTCGGCCTCAGCCTGCCTCGGCCTCAGCCTGCCTCAGCTCGGGCATTCAAAATATGGCACAGGACTGGTGTTCTGGGAACACGAAGATCACGAAGTGGCCCACAGTTGACTCTGGGCAATCAAAATATGGTACAGGAATAGTGTTCTGGGAACACGAAGAACACGAAGTGGCCTACAGCTGGCTCTGGGCATTCAAAATGTGGCCTGGGAATGGTGTTCTGGGAACACGAAGAACACGAAGTGGCCTACAGTTGGCTCCGGGCATTCAAAATGTGGCCTGGGAATGGTGTTCTGGGAAGACGAAGAACACGAAGAGGCCTAGAGTTGGCTCCGGGCATTCAAAATGTGGCCTGGGAATGGTGTTCTGGGAACACGAAGAACACGAAGTGGCCTACAGTTGGCTCCGGGCATTCAAAATGTGGCCTGGGAATGGTGTTCTGGGAATGGATTCCGAAGGATTTCCAATAATTCTTAAGAATTTATAAGTATTCCTGGGGCTGACCCTTTTGTCCGGTTCCTTGTCCGGATCCCGCCCAGACCCCCTTGGGGCGTCAAGATGCTTTCTTTTGATCCCACTAGAAAAATATCAGCAAAAGCTGTTAGGTAAAAATGTGACGAAGTGTGCGCGCGCGCGTCGTCGCGCGCATGCCGAAATCCTCCAAAAACGTCCGGTTTCGGGGGGATTTCAAAATCGAGTGTCAAAAAAAACATACAAAACACATGGTTTTGCAACACGGATGTTCAACAAAGGCGTGCGCGCGCGCTCTTGCGTCGTCGTCGTCTTCGTCGCCGTCCTCCCTCCTCCCTCGTCGTCGTCGTCGTCGTCGCCGTCGTCGTCCTTTGTTTCCTCGTCGTCGTCGTCCTCTTTGGCGTCGTCGTCGTTTCCGTCGTCGTTGTCGCCGTGGTCGTCCTTCTTCTTCCCTCGACGTCGTCGTCCGTCGTCGGCGTCTCGTCGTTGTCCCTCCTATTTCGTCGCCGTCGTCGTCGTCGTCTTCCCTCCTCCCTCGTCGTTGTCGTCGTCGGCGTCGCCGTCCTCCTTTCTTCTTCGTCGTTCGCGGCGTCGCCGTCCTCCCTCCTCCCTCGTCGTTGCCGTCGTTGTCGCCGCCGTCGTCCTCCCTCCTCCCTCGTCGTCGTCGTTTTCGTTGGCGGCGTCGTCGTCGGCGTCGTCGTCGTCGGCGTCGTCGTCGGCGTCACCGTCGTCGGCCTTGTCATCGTCGTCGGCGTCGGCGTCGTCGTCGTCGGTGTCGTCGTCGTCGTCGTCGGTGTCGTCGTCGAAGTCGTTGGAGACGTCGTCGGTGTCGTCGTAGTCGGTGTCGGCTGCGTCGTCGTCGTTGTCGCTGTCGTCGTCGGCGTCGGTGTCGTTGCCAAGTGCCATTTGGTACATACCGTCACGGTCTTAAGAGGTCTTGCGACCAAGTTGCGGGTGAGAGGGTGGGATGTTTGCACGAGCAGTGGAGAGGACAGTTTCAAGACAGTCAAAGTGAGTTGCACAACATATACTGCACCACAGATTTCCGTAGCCATTTTGGCTCAAGCGCCGAACCCCGCTTGCGGGGGCGCGGGCCGCGATGGCCGCCGGAGACGACGATCCCTCCGAGGTCATGCTCTCGTCTGGCGCTGTCGAGGATGACCTAGATGAGCCAACGACGACATCGAGGCTGAGGACAAAGTCGTCGGGCCGCATTATTCCCAGGAGGAGGGTCACCATCGAGGATGCCATCGAAGAGGTCGGCATCGGGAGGACGCAGTACGTGTTGCTGGTCATTTGCGGTTTGACGTTCTGCTCGGACGCAGCGGAAGTGACGTTCCTTTCATATGTGACGGAGGTTTTGCGCTGCGACTGGGGCATCACCGAAGAACAGGAAAGCATGCTCACTTCGGTCGTGTTCGTCGGGATGCTCGTCGGCTCTCCCGTGATGGGCTTCCTCGCCGATAAGATCGGCAGGCGGATCGCGTTCCTCTTCTCCTCGGTGATCATCTGCATCTTCGGCTTCCTCACGGCTCTGTGCCAGAACCTCCCCCAGCTGATCGTTGTGCGCGCGGTGGTCGGCTTCGGCGTTTCTGGCTTGCCCGTGGGCTTCGACATCCTGGCGGAGGCGCTGCCCATGGCGGGACGCGGCAGGTTCCTGCTCCTGATCGAGTATTTCTGGACCCTGGGCAGCATATACGTCAACCTCTGCGCGTGGCTCGTACTGGAGTCGCTGGGGTGGCGAGCATTCACTTGCCTGGCCGCCGTCCCGACGCTGATCGCCTCGCTTGCCGGGTACTACCTCCTCCCCGAGTCCCCGCGCTGGCTGCACGAGGTGAACAGGGAGGAAGAAGCGCTGGCCGTCGTGAACCAGTGGATTGCGGCCAATGGAGGGGAGATGAAGATCGCCTCCCTCGCCGTCGATGCGGGCCACGAGGAGCTCGGCTGCTCCGCGCTCTGCAGCAGGAGGAAGCTGCGCTTCGTGGCCGTGGTCATGGGCCTGATCTGGTTCTCCTTCGGAATGTGCTACTACGGCATCGTCATGCTGCTGCCTCGCGTGTTCGAGAGCTCGAGCAGCGGCGGCGAGGGGGCCAGCCAGGGGCCGTGCAACGGGGGCGCCAGCTTCGACTTCAAGGACATCGGCGTGTCGGTGGCCGCCGAGGTGGTGGGCGTGGCGGTGGCGGTCCGCCTCATCGATTCTCCTGGGCGCGCCCCAACGCAGGCCATATTCTACGGCCTGTGCGCGGTGTCCGCGTTTGCCCTCAGCTTCAAGGCGCTCCCGTCGGTGCTCCTGCTGTGCGCCGGGTCCTTGGCCCGGATGTCGGCAATGGCGGCGTCCAGCGCCACTTGGGTGCACACTCCAGAGCTCTTCCCCACCAGGGTGCGGACCACAGCCCACGGCTTCATGAACATTTGCTCCAGGATCGGGGCCTTCATGGCCCCGTGGCTCATCATGGGCGACTTCGTACAGTTCAGAGAGGACGTCCTGACGGGCATGCTGATTACGGGCACGGTCGGTGCTCTGGCAGGTGTCTTGTCGATGATGCTGCCCGAGACCGCGGGCACCGAGATGCACGATGCCGCATACGACTCTACCGAGTCCAGCGACGGCGATGACGACAGCTTCGGCTCGTCGGAGTGACTTGGGTCCGATGGGGGGGGGGAAGTGCGGGCGTGGGGGATGGGGAAGGTATGGAGGTAGGGTTGGTGGTTCGGTGAGGTGGCTGGCAGGGAGGAGGAGGAGGAGGAGGAGGAGGAGGAGGAGGAGGAGGAGCAGGCAGCAGGAGCAGGAGCAGCAGGAGCAGGAGCAGGAGGAGCAGGAGCAGGAGCAGGAGCAAGGAGGAGGAGAGGAGGAGGAGGAGGAGGAGGAGGAGGAGGAGGAGGAGGAGGAGGAGGAGGAGGAGGAGGAGGAGGAGGAGGAGGAGGAGGAGGAGGAGGAGGAGGAGGAGGAGGAGGAGGAGGAGGAGGAGGAGGGAGGAGGAGGAGGAGGAGGAGGAGGAGGAGCTTCCAGGGATTCGGCGCATGTGTTCCCTCGCCGGGTCGTCCGGCGCGGGCGGCGGGCGAGCGAGCGCCGTGCATTCGCCAGTTGTGGGCACAGGTTTCTTTCATGTTATGGGGTGGAGGGTGGGAGTGCGGGACCTGAAAACATATTTTACCACCACCACCTCCCTCACCCCCTCCGTCTCCCAGGAGTGAGGAGGGGAAGAGGAGGGTAGAGGAGGGAGGGGGAATTGACGTGGTGGTGGTGGTGGTGTATGTTCTTGGGAGCCGCAGGGAGTGGTCGGGGCCCTCCGACTCGCTTCGACAGGCTAGCGTGACGTCAAGGTTCTGTCAATGCTACGGGTCCTGCTCCTGCGCGTCTACTCCTATGTTCAAGCTGTTCACCCTTGTACTCCGAGGACCATGAACGGAGGAGGAGGAGGAGGAGGAAGAAGGTGAGGAGCAGGAGGAGGAGGAGGAGGAGGAGGAGTACCAGTGGAAACCCAAGAGTCATCAACGATGTTGGAACAAAAAAAACAACCCTCCAAGCTCCCTCTCCATGGGCCCCTACAACAGCTCATTTTCGCTAATGGAACTGCCCACTCGGGCTACGGGCCGACTCGTCCCGCCCAAACGGGCGCGGCCCCACGACCAGCGGGGCAGGCTCGCTCGCTCACTGAGGGAACTGGCTTGTTGGAGACAATTGTTTGAAGACCCTGAAGCATGCCAAAACATTGTTCTCGGGGTTCAACGCCACGGATCAACCTGACTGTTGCGTCCTGACGATCCTGAATGGTACAAGAAAGACATTCCTGGGGCTTCAACACCGCGAGTCAACGTAATTGTTGCGCCCTCGTAATCCTGAGTCCTTCCAAAACACTATCTCTGGTACGCTGATCATGGGAATCCGTGAAACTCTTGCAAGTTTAAAAAACGAATGTGCGGGGCGCGAAGGCGAGAGCCACGATTTGAAAAGGAACCGTCCTCAATCCGTGAAGCTCTTGCATTTGGTTTCAATGAATATACGCGGCGCCAAGGCGAGAGCCACATTTTGAAAACGGGCCGCCCTTAATCCGTGGAACTCTTGCAATGTTCTGAAGCGAGTGTGCGCGGCGCGAAGGCGAGAGCCACATTTTGAAAACGGGCCGCCCTCATTCCATGAAACTCGTGCAATGCTGAAGCCGAATGTGCGCAGCGCCCAGGTGAGAGGCACATTTTGAAAACGACCGCTCTCCATCTGTGGAACTGTTGTCATTGTTGAAGCTTCAGGGTCATAAATTGTCAGGAAGTCTGAGGCGGAACGCCCGGCATGCCCTAGAAACTGGCTTCGGGGTGCGACAGGCAGAAGTTGTTTATAAGGAAAAGAACAGAGGAGGATGAGGAGGCGGAGGAGGAGGCGGAGGCGGAGAATGAGGGAAGCGAGCAAGTCAGTCAGGGTCCGAGCGAACGGAGTTGGGCCACCACGCTGGGCACGGACTTGAATGGAACGCTTTCTTGGAAAAGTATGGAAAAGTTCGGGCTGCGTGCACCTCTGCTGATCAAGAGGAGGAGGAGGAGGAGGAGGAGGAGGAGGAGGAGGAGGAGGAGGCGGGCGCCCAAGGCTTCCGCACTGGATGGTCCCCGACCGTGCCGCGCTCGCACGGTCGAGCCCGAGGGCCACCGCAGTGGACGCCCGCCCGTCCTCGGTGGAGGACGGCGCCCCCCCGCCTCTGCAAGCATCCCAGGCGGGCTCAGAAAGAACACAAGTCGCTCCACAGTGTTCTGGCGGCGTCACCCCCACATACTTATACTACATGTGCGTCGCCCCCCCAGGGGCGGCGCGCGCACCGAGAAACCTTAGAGTCTGTGCGTCGTGGCGGGCGCTTTCTGGCCACACCGCTGGGGAAACGATAAACTACAAGACGGGTATACCAAGTGCTCGGGTCGGACGCGCGCCTCCACGGCTGGCATTTAGCACCAGCATGGCTCTGCGCGCCCCACTCCGGAGCCCTCCGGAGCAGCCGCGGTGCCTGCTGCATCCCCCAGACCCGCCGGCTCTCCGGGATCCCGAGCTGCCTCTGCCCGATCACGACGGCGACGAGACGACGACGACGACGACGACGACGACGACGATGACGACGACGACGACGACGACGACGACGACGCTGCGACGACGACGTCATCTACGACGTCATCCGCAGCCCGTGCGATGCAGCCGTGCGGGTCCTGGAGGAAACGGTGCCGATCTGTCGGCGGCGCGCAGGAGGTCACCGCCCACCAAACTCGGGGAACGTTGAGACAACACATGTGAGGCCCGTGCCCCCCCTTCCCCAACCCGAAATTCGGGTCTTCGGGTTGGGTCGGGGTGGTCTGGTAGGTACCGTAGTCAGAAGGGGGGGGGCGAGGGGGGTGCTTTCTACGACGGCAGGGGGCTTCTTAGAAGAGGTCGGAGACTTCAAGGAACGCTTCGAAGAAGGCAGAGAGGTTTCTGAGAGAGACTCTGCCGACTCGAGCGTCTCTCCCCTTCGACCTCCGCCTCCTGCGCGCCCTTTGCACGCTTTCGTCGCCGTGGGGACAGGGGGGTCCCGGGGGAGGTGGTCCCGGAGGCTTTCTGGGGGCCTCCTGGGCTCCTGGCCGTGAGCTCTTTCGGGAGCCTCGAGACGGGGTCATCGCAAACGGGGGTCAGCCAGAGCGCTGGATCTTGCAGGATCCTGCAGAGCCCAGGATGCACTGACCCAGATTAGCGCGCAGAGTCCTGCAGGATCTTGCAGGATTTTGACAGATCTTGCAAAGCCCGAGTGACCCGGGTTTGCGTTGACCCAGGCCAGTGCGTGCCCGATTTTCAATAGCAGTCCGGGATGCACAGCTGAGCGACGCACATAGACGGGTTCGACTGCGCCGACATCGGCGCGTAAGCTGCCCTCGAAGCGCCCTCGTTTCCAATGTTGCGTGCCGCGCTGGCGGCCCGCGTAAGACCCTTCTCTTTTCGTCGCCCAGTTGGTCATAGGGAGAGCCCCTCAGACCAGCCGTTTCCACCAGGACCCCTCTCACCCATGCCAGCGAGCAGAATGCTTGGATCGCAGTCTCTCTCTCCCTCTCTCTCGTTTGATTGCCCACATGCCGCCGCCTCCGCTACTTCTGTCTCACCCTTCCTCCCCCCGTCTCCCGCGGCTCTGCTTCATCACTATATTTATCGTCCTTGCCTGTCTGTTCGCGACGCCCCAGCGCTCCCCTGCAGTGCCCCCCCTCCCGCGGCACTTAGATTGCGGGCCGTTCGTCGGCCGCTTTCATCTGCCGTCGTCGTCATTACGATTTCGTCTGATCAGGCTTCACCTTGACGTGGTTAGTTATTTATTTTCTGTCCTGTTTGAATCCGCTATCTCCTCGATCCATCCTTGTTGCTCATCCCTCCGCCCTCCGTCCGTCCTTTCATGCTCCATTCCCCCCTTCGCTCGTCCATCCCTTCTCCATCCCCCTTTCTCCTGTCCGTCCTTTGCCTCCTCCCTCCTCCCTCCATGCGTCTCCTCTGCCTTCTACGCTTCTTCCTTCGAGAGCGTGTGCTCGAGGTCGTGCGGAGCAGCCGCCCGTTCGAGAGTCAGCGGCGGTGGTTCGCAGTGCTTGAGTGGTGGTAGGGCTCCAGCGGTGTCCAGATATTCCGCTTTTCCTGGGTGCCACAGGCACAGCTGAAGCCACAGCCCCCCAAATCCAATGGTGGTCGTCAACAGCTTAATGCTCGCATAGTGGCAGAATAGTGGAGCACCCCGCGCAAACCCCGCAACTGTACAGACACAGTAAAGCAGCACGAAGGCTGTTGATTTCAAGGTCCGCTCCACGTTGGTGCCCTGCTCGAACTGGCGCCGGTCTTGAACTCCACCTCCTTGTGCGCAGCTTTCGAATCCTCTTATTACTCTTCTTCCTCATCCTCGTCTCAGAAGATTGCAATACTGAAGCAGTTTCGTGAGGTTGACGTTCCAGGAATGATGCTCGGGAACGAGGCAGGAATGTCAGAGCTCAAAAGTCACGTTGATTCGCGGTTTTGAAGTCCCAGAAGTAGTGGTCTGGCACGACGCAGGATCGGCAGGATGAAGCAGCGATGTTGATTCACGGTGCTGAAGTCCAATGAGTGGTGTTTCGGCACGATGGAGGATTCTCAGACCTTCGTCTTCCAACGGGGCATTTCCATAAGTGAAATCAATTCTTGTAGGGGCCCATGAAGTCAGAGCCGCGAGTAATCAGGGTTGGGGGCAGTCAGGTTGGTTCAGATTTGCGCCTCGGGGTTCCAAACAGGAATAACCCTGGACCGCAGTTATCCCAGATAATTCGGGCGCCCAGTTATCCCAGATAATTCGGGCGTCCAATGAAGAGGAAACTTGGAGGGAGGGTTAATTGCAACATTCCTGATGCGTGCTGGATTTACACTGGTCCTCCTCCCCATCTCCCCTCTCCCTCTTGATGGCATCTGGGAGGTGTCTTGCGGGCTTCTTCGGGGCCTCTTGGGCACCAGTGAAGGCCCGTTGGGGGCCTGCGGGGCTGTATTCGGCGCGATGGTCCCTGAGAGCTCTGCTCAAGAGGCTGGATTCAACCACCTTGGGGGGTGTCTGGGCGGTCTTGGAGCGGTCTCAAGGCGTACGTGGGGCCCTCTGGGGGCCGTCTTTGAAGCCTCTTGGGGTTCTCGGGAATTTTCCCCGAGTGGGCATGGGGCCGAACAAATTCGGAAACGAAGCGCACTTTATTGCTCGGCGTTTGTCTGAATTTTCGCCTCGCTGGAGGCTTCTTCGGGTGGGGCCCCTTGGGACTTCCTTGGGGGTCTCTTCGAATCCATTGTGGCGAATTTGCATCATGTCTGGGGTAACAAGGCCCCAGACATTTAGGTCTGCTGGTCGGAGGGCACGGAAGGTGCGCTGGAGGACCCGGAAGGCATGTCGTGGAGTTCGTCGACCCCCCCTTGTTGGGGGGAGATTTTGGACCCTGTTGGGGGGAGTAATGTAGGATGACGATTAATGAATGACAGGGGGTCGCGTTGCGTCGGCGGCGCCCCTGAGGATGATTAGAAAAAATCGGCTGCTGGCTGGGAAACTATTTGTTTTAATCGTGCCCCCCTTGTCGTCTTCGGGCTCGCGCCCGGACAGCCGACGCGCCAGACGGAGCCGAAGCGGAGGGTTAGGAAGGAGGGGGTCAAGGTGAAAGGAGCGGGGCCAACAGCAGCGGGATGCAATTCTAGACGCTTCGCGTAACCCCACCAGCCCATCCAGAAACGATGCCCAGAGGAAGTGCCTCGATCAGGGAAGTGGGCAGCACACAAAGGAAGGGTACCCCAGTGGAGGCCGGTTGGAGCGTCTTAGGGGCCTCTTGGCGGTCCCGGACGCCTCTTAGAGCGTCTTGGGTGCTTTGGAGAGCTTCTTGGGGCCTCTTGGGGGTCTCTTGGGGGCCTCTTGGAGGCCTCTGGGGCGCTTGTTGGGGCCTCCTGGGGCCTCATGGGCGCCTCGTGGGGCCCTCTTGAAGCGCTCTTGGGAGCCTTCAGAGCGCTCTTGGAGCCCTCTTGGGCCATCTTGGAGTCATCTTGAAGCCTCGGATGGCCATCGGAAGCGAAAAGGCGAGAAAGCCCAAAATGTTGATTTTCCGAAGGTTTTGGAAGGATTTTGGCCTCTTCGGGGCCTCCTGGGGGAGCTCTTTGGCCACTTGGAGCCGTCCTGAAGCGGTCTTGGGGCCTCTTGGAGCATCGTGGGAGCCATCTTGAGGCATCTTGGGATATCTTGAGCCATCTTGGAGGTCATCTTGGGCTCTCCCAGGCGCTCTTGGAGTCATCTGAAGCAGTGCCACCCCCCCCAGGAGGCCCAAATGTGGCCAAAACCTTAGTAAAATCAATGATTTGGGCATTCTCGCCGAGGCCTCTTGGAGCGTCTTGGGTGCCTCTGGGGGGTCTCTTGGGGCCTCGTGGGGGTCTCTTGGGAGCCTCTTGGGGGCATCCTGGGGGCTTCTTGGGAGCTTCTTGGGGCCACATGGGGCCATCTTGGGGCCATCTCGGGGCCTCTTGGGGCATCCTGGGGGCCTCTTGCGGCCATCGTGGAGGAAATCGATGAAAGAAGAGGGGAGCTCTAATTAGCGCTGCCCCCTCAGAAGGCCAAAATGGGGCCCAAACCATAGTAAAATCAATGATTTTGGCTTCCTCGCCGAGGCCGTTTTGGACGCTCTGACCGCTCCCCGCCCCTCCTGTCCAGGTCAGTGGGGAGGGGGTAGGGGGAGGGGTAAACCCCTCCCCGAAGGGGAAGAGAGAGGGGTGGAAGAGGAAACGCCCTAAACCACCGACGCCCAGAGGGCTGGTGGGATTACAACGACGATCGGATCGGATCTGTAGTTACCATGAGCTGTAATAGCAAGTGGAGAAGGAGGTGCAAGACCCAACCAGGTGCAGCTGTGCATACCGACATGCAGCTTAGACCTCGCCATCCCTGGGGGGCTGCGATCTGTGAAACTGTCGCCACTTTCGAGGCCTGCTGGGGGGCCCAGCACAGTGACGCCACGCGCGGACCCAAATTAGACCTCGCCATCCCTGGGGGGCTGCGATCTGTGAAGCTGTCGCCACTTTCGAGGCCTGCTTGGGGGCCAAGCACAATGACGCCACGCGCGGACCCAAATTAGACCTAGCCATCCCTGGGGGGGTTGCGATCTGTGAAACTGCCGCCACTTTCGAGGCCTGCTGGGGGGCCCAGCA